GGAGAGGGCATGACCCATGGAGTGATCAACGTGCTATTCAAAAAGGGAGATAAAGTCGGCGGTAAAAATTGGCGGCTCATCTCCCTGCTGAACGTCTCATATGAGATACTAGCTAAAACGCTAGCGAAAAGATTGGGGAAACACCCACCAAACCTAGTTGAGGGAGACCAAGGCGCGTTCGTACAGAGCCGTTCTATCTTGAGTAATATCGTGATAGGAGTGGAGATCCTGGAGCTGGTACAATCAGAGAAGCTGAACTCGACAATCTTTTTCCTCGATCTTGAGAAGGCATACGACAAAGTCGGATGGCCTTTCGTGTTTACAGCACTGATAAAGATGGGGTTTGAAGCCAATTTTTGTAAGTGGGCGGCAATCATGTACACGTACTCAACTTCAGCGGTCATGATGAATGGGCATTTGTCTGACCCCTTTAAGTTGACCCGCTCATTACGGCAGGGCTTCCCCCTAGCCCCTTTCCTGTTTGTCTCACAAATGGAAGTCCTGTTGAATAGAGTACGTCGGAACCCAGTGATCAGAGACCTCGAACTCCTAAGTGGACCAGTCTGCAAACTTGAAGTTAAAGCTCTCGCTGATGACCTGTTTGTCATCAATGAAAACTCAATGGATTCGTTGGGGGAATTAAATGGAATTCTGTTCGAATACTCCCACCTGTTTGAGGCTACGGTGAACTAGAACAATTCAGTTGTCCTATTACCAAAGCCCTTTGAACTAACAGTGGAGTGGGGGATGAGGAGAGTGGAGAAAGGTGAAAAAGAGAGATTCGTAGGGGTCCTAGTGAGCCTGCAGCGTGAGACTTCGTCACAAGGTCTCCTCCTGCAACAGCGAGTAGCGACTAGGTTAAGATTGTGGGGCCAGGTGTGACACTTATCAGTCATTGGCAGAGCCTTATTTTCAAATGTCGCCCTTTTCTCAATTATGTGATTTGTTAGCACAGTGAGAAAAATCTCAGAGGGCATTATAAAGGCAATAAAGAAACCGGCGGCGAGGTTTGTTTGGAAACCAAGAGCAAAACAAGACGAGGGATTTGTGGCAAAAGTGGCCTGGGAGATGCTCACCTTCCCACGAGAAGAAGGCGATTTAGGCTTGGTGGACCAGGCGAGGAAGAATCAAACATAGTTAACTGTGTGGATTACCAAGTTGGCGAGTTCACCTAGAAAAGAGCACTGGGTAGAACTGGCAGGATGCATGCTGATGTAGGAATGGGGACTGAGCCCCCCACAAAATATCTGGGCCTGCATATTTATTCCTTCCTTGGAGGTGCCCCCTTCGCAAAATCCAAGAATAACAAAGGAATGAGGTGCCCCCTTCGCCGCAGATGCCTTGAGCGGCTCGTTTGGATTAGCATGGATTCACAGAGGCATAGTTCGCATCAGAGATATTTGGTCTACAACTCTGGGTACATGGTGCCCAGGGACAGAGATGAGATAAGCTTTATGTGGATTGCGGAACGTGGATGAGCACTTAAGCCAGATAATCAATGTTATTCCTGAACAGTGGTATTCTCGGACCGGAGGGACTGGACCCCCCGGGAACATGGTATACCGCAGGAGTAGCGGGGGAGGAGGAAGATGTGGTATGAAAGTTATTGGAGATCTTGCCGAGTGGATTCAGGAAAGTGGAAAGATGGAGAAGCCTTAACCACACAAACGAGCTATCCCTGATCAACGAAACGGTGATCATGGCCTGGGGGAACCCCGCACAGACCCGTGTTGTTGAAAAAAACAAAGGCCCTGCAGTGAGATGCAAATTAATCTGGATTGGAAGGTCTTCACAGAGAAAGCTAAGCATCGACCCTATTGCGTGGGCATGGTCCACAGGAAGATATAGACATCCCACCATGAGCCTCCTTGAGTACACCATCGCTGAAGGGTATGACCTCCGCCTCAGAAAAACGAACAGGAAAATCCCTGGAGAAGTGGCAATCATCAGGTGGCAAGCGATTTCAACAGATGACTTAGCCGTTGCCGCCCCTCAATTCAAGAAGTTATGAAGTTCACTGATCTGCTTACCGAATGAGAAATAGGTGACCATTTTATGGCTGCTCTCCTTAATGACAATTACGTCTGCAGTCTGGCTGGTAGGCAGAGGCATGCAAGTGAAGTTAAAGTTCTCACGATGTAGCTGACCTTTTGAATCCACCAAGCACCTTTGGTGGGAGTGCCCGGCCTCAAAGCGCATCTGGAAGTGGTGGGCACATCATTGGCGCCTGTTTGGTGATCCTCGAGTGGAGTGGGAGGAAAAGTGGGTTCTTTTTGGGTTTTTGCCTGAAGGAATGGATGGGAAAAGAGGGTGGGGGTATGTCGCCCAGGTGACAAGAGGGCTGATTTGTGATATTATTTGGCAAGACAGAAATAGGTCGAGGTTCCAAAAGAGACCCTTTTCGGATCTGCAGATCAAGAAAGCAGTCCGTCAAGGCCTGAGAGAGGCAATTCGTGTGGACTGGAGGTGAAAGGCCAAGTCCGGAAGAGGAAACATCAGGCAACTACGCTGCTTTCTCAACACCTGGGCTCACAGGCGCCAATTAGCAGGCGTCCATCACGCACAGGGCCTAGTTCTCTCCCCCTGGATCCAAGATCTCCCACAAGTGACCTTGGGAAAGATAGTAGGCAAGTAGACGGGGTGAATGATTGGTTGGGAACCAGGACACTCGGTTCCCTAGTTAGAGTTGGGCGGCCGCAGGAGGCACTAAAGAGGGAGGGGGGTGGTAGAGTGTCAAGGTTACCAGGAACGCGAGTTCCAACCAGTCGTGGTTGGGCTGGTAACAGACCGTGAGTAGGTCTGATCCGTTTAGACTTAGATCGAGTACGAATGGTTATACTAAGGCGAAATGGCAGTTCTTGGCCGTCCACACAATAGTATCCACAAGTTTGCAGGAAGGGTTTCAAACAGTTGTTGAGAGCCCAAGAAATGCTTACAACAGGTAGTAACGATAGAGGTTGAGACATAAACCACCAGTACTTCCTCGAGTCGTGCCCGTTAACGCGCCACGTATGACGATTTTACGAAACGTATGGGTCACTACAGAAGCGCCCAAATTCATCCGACTAGAAACGTTTCTACTCTTTTTTTTTCCGCCGCCTATAGCTGGGCCAAGTACTGGTGGTATAATAGTAGTGAGGTTATGAGCATTAGAGAACTAGAGCCAACACTGGGTAAGTTTCTGTTGAGTGCTCGGGTCCCATGAGGTCCTGTTAAAAGCCAACACTGGGTAATGCTCCCAGAACCGGGTAGAACTCTGAGGTCCCCGGCCTCAAGTTTGAATTGGTAATGGAACAAAAAAGGCACTCCCGAGCGGGTTTTCACTTCCGGGAGCACTCCCGATCCCGAGTCCCGAAATTTTCCCCAAGTCGGGAGTGGTGTGGCGAGGCCCTAGATGCTGCGCGCCATCGGCAAACCTGGATCCCGGCATTTCGAAGGACGTCAATACTATATATATTGCTGTCGAACAGAACTGCCCAGTAGACTGTAGGCAGAGACGGAGAAGGCGACAGTGCGGACGTGCCAAGTGCTTCGGACGCCGCGAGCTCCTAGGTCCAGCGCCCACTCGAGCACGCAGTGTGGTCGTAGTACTTCAGTGTACACGCGCGCGCGTGTGTTTGTGTGTGTGTGTGTGTGTGTGTGTGTGTGTGTGTGTGTGTGTGTGTGTGTGTGTGTGTGTGTGTGTGTGTGTGAG